TATATTCCCTGAGTATGAATATCAATGACTTTTAGTGGCAATCATATATTTTTCTTTATTTCTAACTTTTTACCTAGACGTAGCAAACATAACTATGATTTCATGGCTAGGCCTAAAGAAAATGCTGAGGCAAAGATAAATCTTTTTCTTCCTTCTAAATAGTCACCCTTGCCTTTCCATAGGGCAACCTTTTCTCCTGCTCTTTCTAATCTCTGGAGGTCACAGCCTCCTACTGAAGCGCAGCTCCTAGCCTGACAACCTCTCTCCTCTACCAACCCACTCCTATAAAATTTTGCACAGTTCAGAATTCTATTTCCTGACACCATTGCTCCCTTCTGGTTTATAGAGGGTAATCAGATTATTTCTACCCTAAAGCCTTTTAGCAGACCAAGTGCACCATCATCTTCCCCCCCACCACTATTTTTATTTTGAAAAATTTCAACCCCCAGAAAAAAAGATTTACTGAACTATTTGAATAATGTAATATTTTAATGTACTATTAAAACAGTGACTATATATGTTAATAATGCTTCAATAAACCTGACTTACACAAAGAAGTGACTAACATTTTGAGTGCCCAGAGACAAACAACACTGTGCCAAGAGCATTAAATGCATTATTCATTTAATAAAAAATCCTTCCAGGGGCACCTGGGTGGCTCAGTCGGTTAAGCGACTGCCTTCGGCTCAGGTCATGATCCTGGAGTCCCGGGATCGAGTCCCGCATCGGGCTCCCTGCTCGGCGGGGAGTCTGCTTCTCCCTCTGACCCTCCCCACTCTCATGTGCTCTCTCTCATTCTCTCTCTCTCAAATAAATAAATAAAATCTTAAAAAAAAAATAAAAAATAAAAATAAAATAAAAATAAAAAATCCTTCCAAAATTGGATCTAGTAACAGTTCCATTTTTACAGATGAGGAAACTGACTCCTAGAAAATTTAAGTAAGGTGCCCAAGATCATACCCCTAGTAAGATGCAGAATTCAAATCTTCATGACTAATTCCAGAGCCTTGGTCTTAACCAGTATAATGTACTTATTAAAGTGTACCAGTGCACCTGGGTGGCTCAGTCGGTTAGGCATCTGCCTTCAGCTTGGGTCATGATCCCAGGGTCCTGGGATTGAACCCCACATCAGGCTCCTAGCTCAGCAGGGAGCCTGTTTCTCCCTCTCCCTCTGCTGCTCCCCCTGCTTATGTGCTCTCTCTCTCTGTCAAATAAGTAAATAAAACATTTAAAAAAATAATAAAGTATACCTCTTGACATAGTAACTAAATGCAATGTGTGAACCTTGATTGAATTTTGGATGATGAAAAAGAACAACTAAAAAAGATATCTTGAGGAGCACCTGGGTGGCTCAGTTGGTTGAACTTCCAACTCTTGATTTCGGCTCAGGTCATGATCTCCACCTCCTAAGATGAAGCCACAGGAAGAGAAGCGAGGGGAATCACCTTGAGAGTCTCTCTCGCTCTCCCTCAGCCCCTCCCCCTGCTTGTGCTCACTCTCTCTCTCGCTCTCTAAAATAAATAAGTCTTGGGGCACCTGGGTGGCTCAGTCAGTTAAGCGTCTGTCTTCAGCTCAGGTCATGATCCCAGGGTCCTGGGATCGAGCCCCACATCGGGCTCCTTGCTCAGCCGCCCTCTCCCACTCCCCCTAGCTTGTGTTCCCTCTCTCGCTGTCTCTCTCTCTCTGTCAAATAAATAAATAAAATCTTTTAAAAATAATAAAATAAATAAGTCTTTAAAAAAGATTTTAAAAATTAAAAAAATATTTTGGGGAAATTTTGGAAAATTTTTGCCATGGATTGGAGCTACTATTGGTTTCTTAGTTGTGATATATTGTGCTTAAGGAGAAAAATGTCCTTACTTTCAGTCAATGAAGTATTTGGAATGAAGTTTCATAATGTCCTCTATTTTCAAATGGTTCACTTAAAAACATGTAGGTGAATATTTGCGTGCACGCGCACGCGCAGGCACACACACACACACACACACACACACACAGAGCAACTGTGGCATAATAGGAACTGATGAATCAATGTGAGTGTCACATGGATGTTCACTGTACTAGTCTTTCAACATTCCCCTAGGTTTTGAAAAATTTCAAGATAAAATGTTGAAGGGAAATGAATGCCTAGAAAAGGCTCTTGAAAAATAGTTTATAGAATCTCAGAAAATTTTAAAATTTCCTGAGATTTTAAAGATCAGGTGGAGTCTTATATCATCTTTTCCTTGGCCGATTTTTGGATAATTTCACCAATGGCACAAACAGGATTACACCATACACAATGCACAAATAAGCATTAGAAAGCATGAAATGTGTATATCCTCAGTAGTAGCAGGGTTAGATCAGGGAACTGATGTTAAAATTTTTTACTTTGGGGCGCCTGGGTGGTTCAGTCCTTGAGCGTCTGCTTCCGCTGGGGTCATGATCTCAGGGTCCTGGGATGGAGCCCCACATCGAGCTCCCTGCTCAGCGGGAAGCCTGCTTCTCCCTCTCCCACGTCCCCTGCTTGTGTTCCCTCTCTGGCTTTCTCTCTCTGTCAAATAAATAAATAAAATCTTTATTAAAAAAAAAATTTTTTTTTACTTTCTTTACATTTTTACAACGATCATGGAAAGTTTTATTTATTACATTAAAAAGAAACAAAAGCCCTAAAAATTCCGAACTACTTCATTTCCCATTAGTGCAATCTGTAAATACGTCATGTAAATTAGAATCTTTATTCTGTTCGGCGTATCACTCTACTGGTGGAGTTTCGAGTTATAAATGGCAGCGCTAGGATTCTATAGCTGGTTCTACTTATGCATGGAGCCGTGCTTGCAAACAAAAACTAAGGAAGACCGGAAAAAGTTAATGTTTTAAAAAGAAGCAAGTGGCGGCAAAAATAGTTAAAATTCTTGGATTCGGAACGCAACATTTAACGCCCAAGTCTCTGGCCAATAGCAGACCTGAGCGGAGATTGCTGGAATCCCGGGAAACCAGGTGGCGGGTGCAGTCCTTGCGGCCCACGGACCGGGTTTCAGGGCGGGACACGCCCCCACACCTAGGCCAATCGGGAGTGAGGAGGCGGGGTTCGGGGCCAGCCGGAGGCGGGGCGGGAGCAGGAGGAGTGTGTCTGAAGTGGGGGAGGCTAAGTCCTAGAAGGTGGCAATTTTCCTGGGCCGGCTGCGCGGGGAGCAAGTGGAAAGGCCCGCCTAGCCGGCCGGGGCTTCGGCCTCAGGCTCCGGGAAATGGCTTCGAGGGGCAGGATGGAGGACGTGAGTGCGCGGAAGTGGAGGGAGGCTGGCCCCGGAACCCCTTTCTTCCCTTGCTGGGCGCGCGGGGCGGAGACTGCCGGGGGAAGCCACCCTTAACCGGTGCGGCCGCGGCCGGAGGCGGTGCTTCCTGCGCGGGGCTGCCGAGGGGCGCGGGGTCCTGGGACAAGATACCCAGCAGGCGGTGGGGTCCGCGACGCGCCGGCTCTGGGCTTATTTTCCCGGGTGGAGGCCGGGTGGGCTGTTGGGCGGTGGGTGCGCGGATGCGGGGTCCCTGGCGGGCGCCCAGCTCCCGTGCGGCGCGCGTCTTTGATCCCGGAACTGGGAGCTTCACGTGATGCGCGTCTGGCCTGACAGCCCTCACTCGGGGCGCTTCTCTGAGCCGGGCCGCTTGGCTCCGCTCACACGTCCGGGGGCGCAGGGGGCCAGTCTCCCTCGTCGTGGCTTTAGAGGGCTTTGGATCCGGAGCAGCTGCGACATGCAGACCGGCCGCCGGCGTCCCACGGGCGGACCTGTCGCTATCATTGCCTAGAAACCCGCATTGGAGAAAAACAGTGTCGTGATACTTTGAATGTAAGCGTGATAGGCATGGAAGGATTTTTAAATCGCCTTACTTAATGGATCCAAACCAGATTGCTAAAAACAAAACAAAAACAAAGGCCTAGTTTACAATCTATATAGTACAGAGTGAAATCTTTGCTTAAGCATATTAAAACATTTTTAGGGGAAACGTGTAATGTGCCCAGAATTAACTGGTTTGCCTCATTGACAGGTAATAAAATTTACCCTTGAGAAATGCAAGTTGATAGTTAACGTTAAAGCACTAATTTGGATTAATACATTAATAGGAATATTACTGTGATCCTGTCACTGAATTAGGGGCATCAGGCAAGACACATTAACAGTCCCAGCCCTACAAGACCTTAGATTTTGGCGTAAGTAGCAACCCCAGTTAAAGTATCTTAACTAAGAACCAGACAATTTCTAATGATAAGACTAAAACTTTCCATTTTTTTTCAGTTGAGAAAATGGAAAACTACCTGTAAGACATGAAAGTAGATTTGACATTCATATACATTTGAAGAAAAAAAATCATTGTTTCTGAATTTTTAAGGGTGAGATTCATAAGCTGAAATGTATGGGGAAAAATCTGAGGAAAATGAGAAACTCTTAGAAAAATGTGTGCAGTAAATGCTTCTTGGTTGATGCTAAGTTGCCCCAGGTTCTTGAATCTGTAGCTTTTACCTTTAGGATGAGTACAATTCTAGAAATCTGTTCCACCAAACAATTGGAGATTAATGTTTCACCAACAGTTACATACCTAAATCACTTTAGATCCGAGCAAGTTGCCTGTATTGGGTACTTTGTGGATATGATTTCTACCATTCAGTAAAAACCTAAACATATGGTGTATGCCGTAGACCTAGATGCTTAAAAGAGCTAACAGAGGCAAAGGCTTTTCAGTTAGAGTTCATTGTTTGCAAGCTGTGAAACCAACTCTAGCTGATTTAAGGAAGAAAGGAATTTCTTTGAAATGATACAGGGTGGATGAACACCTACACCTCTGAAAGGAGAACAAACAAGGGCGGCTCAAGGGATCTAAGTGACAGGGGTCCTTTCAGAGTCTGCCCTGGAATGGTCTCCCTTTGGTTTGTTACTCACAGAAAGAATTGAATTGTCCAGCCCACTGAGGTTCCATGAGAGGCCAGAGGTTCAACCTTGTCAGAGGAGGGTGAAAAGTATTGAAGGATGTTCCCATTGAGACTTAATGCAGAGGTAGACAGTGAGTCTCCAGAGGAGATGGATTTATTGTCACAAAAGAAGAGGAAAGAGATCCATGTGGGCAAAACTACGGATATCTTGTACAGGTTTGATGTAGTTATTAACAGTGTAAGTGAAGAAATTATTTGGATTCAGGAGTTGTCTTTTACCTTTCACATGGAGATGGTGAGTTGCCATCTGAGAGTGATGAGGCATTGTTTGTATGGTTATTCTACATTTCCTATGGAATATACTGGACAGTGTATTTGATACAGCCACCAAATACACTGTATTTACTGAACATCTAATAAGTGACATAGAGAAGAAACCATATTACAGTCTCCAACCCCTTCAGTGTAGTCAGGAGAAATAAAAGGTATGTACATTAAAAAGGAAAAAAACAAGATAGCATAAGAAATATTCCAAATTAGGGGTGCCTTGGTGGCTCAGTGGGTTAAGTGTCTGCCTTCGGCTCAGGTCATGGTCCCAGGGTCCTGGGATCGAGCCCCACATGGAGCCCCCTGCTCAGCGGGGTGTCTGTTTCTCCCTCTCCCTCTGCCCCTCCACCCCTGCACATGCTCTCTTGGTCACTCTTGCTCACTCTTGCTTGCTCTCTCAAGTAAATAAATAAAATCTTAAAAAAAAAAAAACTATTTCAAATTAATATTATGAGCAGTACATTTTATAGCAGTTTTAAAGTAGAAAGAAAATAGTTGGCAGGACAAGTTGTTTTTTTTTTTGGTTTTGGTTTTGGTTTTTAGAGAGGGTGGGGGAGAGAGAGAGAATCTTAAGCTGGCTCCACACCCAGCACGGAGAGGACTGGGGCTTCATCTCAACCCTGAGATCGTGACCTGAGGCAAAATCAAGAGTCTGACGCTTAACCTACTGAATCACCCAGGCGCCCCGGCAGGACAAGTTTTATAGAGAACTTAAGTCTTGTGTGGATTCTGAAAAATATAAGAAGGATATTTGTGGGGCACTCCAGAAAGGTCATTTAGGCTAGGGGAGGGGTGCATGAAAGGGAGGTAAATGGGAGACAAATTGACAGTAGTCTTACAGTTAAGGTTTCAAGGCCAGCTTTGTTTAGATTCTCAGGCCCCACAAGAAGTTGGGCGGTCTTTCATTCACTCCACACACACATTGAGCACCTACTCTGTGTTAGGTGCTAAAGGTATAAGGAATATACAGAACAGTCTCTGCCCTTGTGAAGCACACTCTTCCAACCACTTTGTTACCTTGTGGTTAGTATTGGAGGTTGTAACAGAGACACGTGTGAGAGTGCGGTAGGGACTTCTGTTCCTAGCCGGCACCGTGTAGCAGGGACTGGATTCATCCTTCTGCCTGAAGTAACCAAAAACTACATACAGTATATGAAACAACACTTTCTGAGCTGTTGAACATCGGGCAGTGAAGGACAGTGCTTTCCGAGAGCAGGGAGACAGTCAGATGGTTGCCCCCCCGCTGACCACCCTGAGAGAGTCTGCGGGCTGTGACAGGAAAGGGTGCCCCGGCAGAGGTCAGCAGGCTCCCTGATTTGAGGAGATGGAGCTGAGAGTCTGGGGAGACTGAGGCAACTGGAGTTCACAAGGCAGTACCTGGAGAGGAGAGAGGCACAGAGGGAGAAGTGAAAATGTGCAGAGTCCCCTTCAGAGTCAGCAGAGTCCTGCTTGGTCCGACCGGGCCTGTGAGGATGTTGCCCATAGCCTGGAAAGGAACCACCTGAAATGATTAGAAGAGGCAGTACTTAGTGCTCACACAGGGCTGGGCATAGTGCCTAGTCCACCAGCCCGACTGGAAACTCCATAATTCACAGGGTACGAGGTGCTCACAGAAGTCTTACCTTCATAGTGGGGGAGAAATTAGCCTTAGGCTAAACATGGCTGTGGTCCCACCTAATAATAAGTCTTAAAAGCAAGACCAAAAAGATCACACTGTTTCCAAGTAACTTAACTGCATTCCAGAAAAAAAGCTCAAGAATATTTATAAGAATGCAAAACTGTCCAGCACCCAAAGAGATAAATCAGGAAGTCTTGCATCCAATCCAAAATTATCAGGCATTGATGATTATGTGACATGGTAAAGGTGTGCATCAAATTAACTCATGGTGCACTTTAAACTTACACAAAGCTATATGTCGACTATCTTTTTTTTTCTTATGTTAATCACCATTCATTACATTATTAGTTGTTTTTTTTTTAAGATTTTATTTATTCATTCGAGACACAGAGATACAGAGAGAGAGAGAGCACGAGCAGGGGGAGAGGCAGAGGGAGAAGCAGGCTCCCCGCTGAGCCAGGAGCCGGACGTGGGGCTCGATCCCAGGACCCCAGGATCATGACCTGAGCTGAAGGCAGACGCTTAACCATCTGAGCCACCCAGGCGCCCCGGTTTGTTTGGTTTTTTTTTTTAAAGATTTATTTATTTATTTATTTATTTATTTGACAGAGACAGCGAGAGAGGGAACACAAGCAGGGGGAGTGGGAGAGGGAGAAGCAGGCTTCCCGCTGAGCAGGGAGCCCGATGCGGGGCTTGATCCCAGGACCCTGGGATCATGACCTGAGCCGAAGGCAGACGCTTAACGACTGAGCCACCCAGGCGCCCCCATCGACTGTATCTCAGTGAAGTTGAAAAAAATTATCAAGCATGCAAAAGGCAGGAAAGTATGACATAAAAGTCAGTTGAAACTGATTCAGAAATGACACGCTAGAAATAGCAGACAGGAACATTAAAAAATTACAACCACTTTCTGTATGTTCCAAAGGGTAAAAAGACATACGGGAGATATAAAATAGACCCAAGTCAAACTTGGGGACATGAAAAGTGCAGTGTTGGATGCAAAGGGCAGTAGGAACAGTGTTGAGGCATCAGAGAAGCCAGTGTTTTTGCTAAGACAAGCATTGACACGTGGGCAGAAGGAAGTAAGGCGCAGGGACTGAAAGAGTTTTGTGAGAGATGGGCGCATCAGCAGTCAGCATCAGGAAGAAGAGAGAAATAACGAGAGGCAAGTCCCAAAAAGTAGCTTGGGAATGGATTGTAAAACAGAGCGCCAGACTAAGAATTTGAACGTTGTCCTGAGGCTAATGGGGAGGGACTCAAGTTTTGGGGGAGAGAAACGTGAATGTTCATGTTAGAAGGCATCCGACTGCAGCAAGAGGTTGCTAAGATCTGGAGACTGGAGGGGAGAGGCCATGAGAAGTGATGGGGCCTGGGCTGAAGAGTGAGAACAGAGAAGCAGGAACAGATCTAGGAGTCAGTGGTAAGGCATTTTATGTGGGGAGCAAGGGAAGACAAGTGTTCAAGACAATAGGGCTAAAACTTACTGACTGCCATGTCTGTACCAGGCAGTGTTCTGGCACTTTTATGAATAGTAACTTATTTAATCTTCCCACTAAAGCTATGAAACGGGTGCTATTAGAACTCTGTTTCCTGAGATGCCGAAAAAGGCATGGAGATGAAGTAACTTGCTCACCGCTAGGAAGGAGGAGAACTTGTGTCTGAACCCAGGCAGTTTGCCCTAGGAGCTTGCCTGTAACCACAGTACTTATGCCTTTCTGTCTAGTCAGAGCTGATTCTCCCCACAGCTCCCGATAATCTCTCCTGATTAGCCCAGGTCTTTGATGAAACCCTAACTGAGTTAGGAACACTGCCGAGATAGGTTTGGAACCGTCATTTGTTCATCATCTGTTCCCTGGGTGCCAACCCTGAGTCACTATTGGGTGCTAGGATTACAAAGACAAATAAGTGATGGGGAGTTTGTGAGTCTCATGAAATCTACTGGGGAGGATAGGTAAGAAATAAGACCATCACAGGATAGTATGATAGTATGAGCACCAAATGTGTGGGAAGGCCTGGAGGTGTGGCATGATCCAGATGCTTGGATGCCCAGGGAGGCTACCTGTGGGAACTGCCCCCGCGGGCCTGGAAGGATGCACAGATGGTAGCCAAGGGAAGCGCCGTGGAGACTGGGACATCTGCTGCCTGAGAGAGAGCTAGAGGCAGAGGAGTCTTGAAAAGAACAGAAATAATCAGAATCATACCGTAAGTTACGGCAAACTAAACAGGAAGCTATATGTAGGCATTGAATGAAAAAAAAAATTGTAGAGCAGCACTGAAAGCCTGAGTTTGGAGACTGAGAAGGCCGCCCCAGATCTGAGTTAGGCTCCAGATTATTACTTTTTATCTTTGTAATCTGGTGCCCAGAAACCATCCCTATACCATTTGTCTCACTCTACCCCTTCCAAAGAAGCTTTATCCTCTCTTTCCAAATGCTATTCTCAGGCTTCCCTTTTTCTGATGAAATCTTTATTTCCATATTATTTTTGTCCAGTTAGCTCACTTATAATATTATTTCATCCTGTATGCCTTTATCCCTAGCCTCCCCAATGAAAATGTAATCTTTTGGATTACATTTTGTATTTTTTTATCTTCTAGTACCTTATATATAATAGTTTTCAGCAAGGGTCTGAGATTAAGAGATGGTTATACGTACCAGAGACCTGATAGTACTGTTCCTGTCGAGACAATACCTTTAAATAAGACAAACGGAATTTTTAGGTTTCAGCTCAACCCCATCAGCTACGTCAGGGACTTTGCAACTGGTTGTTTTCATTGAGAACCCGTATCTATAAACTAAAGTCTCCTTGAGGATCTATCAGGGTGTTCTGTTTCCTTCTCTAAAACATTTCTATCATAACTGAAAGTTTAATAAAGCCTCCACCAACTTTCCAAACATCAAGATGTAGTTTAAGAATTGCAACCATATGTAATTATTTCATCAATAATCTAATGTTAGATAAATCAAATCTAAGTTTTGAGAACTTAAAGAAAAAATTGTTTGCTTTAACCTCATTATATATTACCTCATTTGAAGATAACTGAAGTAAGATTTCCTCTACCCATTTTAATACTTGTTTTCACCAGTTTGTATACAGTAGTTACCTAGAAGTTTATGATTTTTTTTTTAAAGATTTTATTTATTTATTTGAGAGAGAGAATGAGAGACAGAGAGCACGAGAGGGAAGAGGGCAGAGGGGGAAGCAGACCCCCC